AAAAAAAAAACCTACAGAGATGATACTGTCAAGTTCTAGTAACAGCTTTGAGATGTGGCCACCTTGACAGCTGTATGATGTGCTGACCAGAGAGAAACACTTAGTTGAGTGTTTTTGGAACACAGAACACCATCAGTTATGGCTTTTTGCATTTCAATGAATTTGGCTCTTCATAATATGAATCCTATAGAGTGAAATTTTATCCTCAAGACACCTTTCCTATTGCTGTAGTAAAATACAGTTTTCTCTTCTATGATGATGATCTCTTTAACAATTACTGATAATTTTGAAGAATCATCCAGAAAGTTTTTTTTCAAGAAACTTATCCTGCCAAATTAGTCCTTTATATTTAAATTGATCTTCACTCACATTCAGGGCATTAACACAATAAATCTATATTCTTAAACAAATTGTTGCATGAATAGATTCTCTCCACCTAAATTTCCCAATAAAAACCTTCTACTGTCTGGAACCTCGTGAACTGGCCTCCACTGACTGTATAGGCATAACTGTCTTTCCTGCATTCACCAGAATGTCACTGTAAGCTCTGCTCTCAGGACAGTAGAGTATTTCTAGCCCTAAGTATCAAATTCTGCCATATTCTATCGACAAAGAGTTCCAAAGGCCTAAGAAACACTTGACCTGCCTTTTTTATAGCAACATCCCAAGTCCTAACATCAACACTCTGTCCAGGTTACTTTATTTGTGACTCAAAAACAATACTTGACCAAAGACACTCAGGAGAGAATAGATTTTTTTTTCTCACAGTTCAAAGGTAAAGTCAGTTCTTCATGACATGGAAGTCTGAGAACATGGAGGTGTGGCACCTTGTAAACTCACATCAACAGATAGGGAGCAGAGATCAGTGAATGCTTGTGCTCATGTGACGTTCTCCATTTAACTCAGTCCTGGATCCTATTCCATGGAATGGTGTTACCACCTGTGGTCGATCTTCCCAAATCAATTACCCTAATCAAGATAATCTCCTTCTATTATGTCTACAAACCTAGATCCAAGGTGATGCTAGATTTCAGTAGGTTTACATTTAAGATTAACCATTCCAGGGATTCTTATAGCTTTGACTTTAGTGGACAAAGGTACCCTGGATCTCATTCATAACAGCAAAAATGTCCTGCAACAAAAACTTTAGTAGACACTGCAAAATCCCAAAACAATGAGGTTAGTGATGACAGCACCTTAGTAAACCTATGGGTTGTCAAGTTTCTGGCAGTAGCCGCTTTATATAATTCATGGAGAAGACCATCATGAACCTCCACTCCACTGTGAATATTCAAGCAGCAACTATCCAGGGACAAAGCCAAAGTTGTCTCCCAGTGAGAGACAGTCTGCATGAGTTAACCCTAGAAGTAAGTCACACTTACCCTCCCTGGCATCATGAACTTTTAGTGAGAAAACAGTTGATAGTTCTGTGGTGTTATCACTGGAAGTTAATGAGTAAATCTTATATTAGTGAATTTTTCTCATAAACATCAAAAAATAAATACAAACTAAATAGAAATCATAATCAAGGCAGGTTACAGAAGAAAAATTGTATTGGAGCTTAGAGTTTCAGAGGATGATTCACAGACCTTCATGGGATGGAGCATGGCAGCCAGCAGGCAGGCATGGCACTGGAGCTTACAGCAGTAGCTTATATTCTGATAGGAGAGAAAGAAAACTGATAGTGTATGAGCTTTGCAAACCTCAAAGCCCACCAGTGACATTGCTCATTCAACAAGGGAATACCTCTTAACTGTTCCCAAGCAGTTCCAACAAATAGAGCAGCCCATTCTCATTCAAACCAAAAATTAACAATCATTCTAAATCATTGGGTACTAGTTTCCCAGCCCAGCATGGATAGGTGGAAATACTATATCTACATCCCTTGGATCTCTTCTTTTACAGATGGAATGGTAGACACCTCCTTGTTCCATGTTGCCCACTTTCAAGAACATGGGATGGTCCTAGAAACCCCAGCAAGAGTGGAAGAGCATTATGCAGTACTGGAAGGCCCAAGTTTCTCCCCAATAGGAGTTCTACTGAGATTGATTCCTGCTGTTGGGCAACTCATCCCCATCACTTCCATCACACTGATCTACTATCACTGCTATCTCGAGGATGTCACCTTTCACCTTTACCTGGTCCCCAATGACTGCACTATTCGGAAGGTGACACTGAGAACCACAAATGTGGGGCCATGGTGGGCAAAAAGAAAATTTGAGTTATAGCTACTGAGTCCCTTGGAGAGATTCTGAACTGAGAGTTGGGATATATTTCTATATGGGGAACCTTGTGTGCCTATATAATTCTACCTTCTTCTTGCCCCCTGCTCCACACACCAGAGTCTCACTCAACTGTCTTTCATGCCAATTTACGAATACCCAAACAGCTTCTATAGTGCATTTCCACCCACTGGAAGGATGAATATCCTCTATACCCAAACTGCAGCAATTTCCTTCTTCTGTAGTAGTTACCCTGTTCCCAAAGTGATCATTAACAGGGCCAACAACCCAAATATCAGTATGTCAGAACATAAGGTAGAAGAGAGCTCATGAGGTGTCATCACCCTATCCCACAAAATGTGCTGATCGACCACCTCACTTTACTCAGATCAGATCTTGTAGCCCAGAAATCTAGATAAATCACTGTCTGTAATGTTCCCTAGGCCATTGATGATGAAGAAATGAATGATCAGTTTGTGCGCATAAAAAAGCCACCCCCAGTAGATGCTCTTTATGTTGGTTCCCGCTATATCCTGTCTGGCTCAAATGAGGTGGAAATTATCCCAAAGGTAAGCATCCAGGTGTTTCTGATAAAAGGCTTGGGAAACCTGTGGGCTGGTTACAAGGATTTGTAGAAAACTGAGATTGGGGAGAAAACAATTAAGATTTGGGATGAGCAAGAATACATCAAAGTTAGGTGGAAATTAATTTAAGGAACCCAACAAGAATGCAGAGTAGACCTTGGAACTTGAGGAATTCAATTCAGATTACCACAGAGAAGTTTTCGGCTAAACATGGAGAGAAGTCCAGGCTAAGGATCTGTGGGCAGGGCTTTCAGGATGAGCTCTCACTCATCCATGGCTGTTATGGTTTGAATCTGAAATGTCTCCTACAAGTGTGGATGTTAAATAGTAAATGTTGGTCTCCAGACAGTGGTAGTATTTTGGGAATTTGTGGAACCAAATCTGTGAAGCCTGGCTGTAAGAAGCAAGCCAGATGAGGCAAGCATCAAGGCTTACAGTCATGCCCTGCTCCCACCTCAGACTGCTCATTCCTGATCTTCTGGGATATAACAGACCATGCCACAACTTTTTGCACTATAAGTGGAGCCCAGCATCTATGCACTCACCACCATGAAACTTAAAAATATAAACCTTTCCTTGTGGTGCTTCCTATCAGGTTTTGTCAGAATAATGAGAAAAGAACCAGCATGCTGGGTCCCAGCTGTGTCCTCAGTCTTGAGAGTAAAGATGTAGGTTCAAATGCTGAGGGTCACCTCCGTGCAAAAGACAGTCATGTCTAATGTGGTATGCAATATCAAGAGATTATGAGGTGATAGAAAGTTCTGATTCACATGAGTAGAGGCTTCTCACACAGCCTCTCTCTCTCTCTCTGTCTCTCTATATGTCTCTCTCTGTCTCTCCATTTATGTCTGTCTGTCTATCTATGTATCTGTCTATCTACCTATCTATGTATCTATGTATGTATGTATGTATGTATGTATGTATGTATGTATCTATCTATCTATCTATCTATCTATCTATCTATCTACCATCTATCTCTATGTATCTATCTCCAGGAACTCGAACTGTGTTACCGAAGCCCGGGGGAATCCCAGCTCTTCTCTGAGATCTATGTTGAACACATGGGTTCAGGGATTAAGCTGCAAATCAGAGACAAGAGGCATATGAATCTCATATGGGAAGCCTTCCTGAAACCAGGTAAAATTAGTTTAAGACCAGAGACCCTAAGAGTTGAAGAAAGGCAATGATTAAGGAGAGGTGTATTGTCGATATTTCTTGGTGCCACAAAATAGATCAGTGATGGTTTTCTGGGTCAATAAAAGGTGGCAGGAGGACAGTTTAAACTATAACACTATGTTAGTCAACTTTTCACAATTGTGACAAATATATGAGAAAAGAAAACTAGAGGAAGAAAGGTTTCCTTTGATTCAAGGTCTTAGAACCAAGTTTCCATCTATAGTCAGCTGCCTCTGTCTCTTTGAGCCTGATGTAAAACAGGATATCATGGAATTGGGAGGAGAGAGAGCTGTTTGTGTGGTATCTCAAAAGGAAAAAGAAGAAAAGAGAGGCAGAGAGAAAAAGGGACTGGGAAAAGAGGAAGCAGAGGTAAGAAGATAGGAAGAAGAAGTCCATACACTACGTTTTCTCCCAGACATGCCCAGTGACTGCCCTTCTCCAACTGTACACTCTTATGTGGTTCTCATTCTATTCTCAGTACTCATTCCATGATGAGAACATTGGTGTATGGCTTCATTCATAGACTCACACCCCTCAGGACAGTCATTTTTGAATACTGCTGCACGACCAGTCCTTCAACACATGATCATTTTTTAGGAACACATCATATGCAAAGCACCACACTCCCTAAGCCACGTTTTCTCAATCCTATATTGAATTTCTGCTCCCACTGCCCTGAAAGTGACAGATTGAGGTACACAAAGATCTGGCTCCAGTTCACATAACAACTCAGGTTTACAGTGAAGGGATTTTGCCAAAATGAGATACTTGATGTTAAATCAATTTATAATTTGTATTAATAAATTATTTTATTAATTTTATACATACATACAATGCATTCTGGTTACTTCACCTTAAAAAAGTATAAAAGTAAAAGAAAGAAAAGTCCTCTCTTCTCTCCCTCCTTCTCCTTCTTTTTCTACTTCTTTTCTATAAATCACTTTGCCACATTCAAAAGGGATTTCTTTGTATCCCAGAATTTAACTTGGACCATCTGTATGACCAAGAGTTTTGTACTATCCTGAAGAACATAGTGATCTCACCAGCAGGGTATACAGATGGAATATTTATCTCCCTATATCCCACAATTTATTATTTGCCAGTTGTTTAGCAGTATGTGCACTGTCCCTGTGAGCTGCTTCCCAGTAGATAGTGGATTGATGGACAGGCCCAAAGAGTGAGGGTCCAGAGACAGAAGATGTGGGTGCTATGAGTTCATGAAGACCACGGAAACACCCTGCTTTTAAGACAGCACTTCACAAATCTTCTCCATACATTATGTACTGTATTCTCTCTAATTCTCCTTCCACGATGTTACTTAAGCCTTAATGGGGTGATACGAATGACTTGATTACAGGGATGAGTATTCACCCATGCTTTTTTCTCAGCATCCTATACAGACATAAGTATGTGCAGTCACCACCATTCACCCCCAAAGAAAGGCTTTTCTGAAAATACTGAAATTACCTTTTGTCTGTGGCATAAATATAGATATTTAGAAGGGCATTAGTACAATGTTCAAATAGCTAATCAGCAATAGTAGCTTCTCTCAAGAATCTAAAATTTCTATTAACCTGGGTTGGTTTATTTGCCTTAAAAGAGTTATACTGCTAGGGATGGAGTCTATCTTATGGAGTGGGAATCACAGAGCTAGTGACTGCTGCCATCATGTTTGTCCCACTGTGCAGCAGAGGGACCACCTTGGCAGGTTGGTTTATGACCGTAGAGAACACAGCTGGGTCAGACTGTTGTTGATGCCTTTGCTTCCTCAGCAACTTGAGGGCTTAACAAGAAGAAAGCTTCAAAATCACCTCCAGAGTGAATTCTCTATACCACCTGTCTAAGAGGTGTGGTATAATCAAAAATAATGCCTTATCTACTAGTTCTTTTGGGGAACTAGTCAGAATGACATGAGCCTATATTGTCTTAGGGATCTCCAGGACTTCCCTGACCACAAACTCCTAAAGAGGTATCCCACATTTGGAACTGGGTTTTTGTTTTGAATCTCATTACTTCTAGAATCTCCATCTGATGCCTTGTATAGTATTTTTTTATAGTTACCAAATAATAGGTTCCTAGTCTACCTACATTATACAATATGCGACTGTCCAAATTCCATCCCTAAGGCCAAATCCCATTTCTAGTTTTCTGGTTTCAAGAAGTTTAGAAGCTCCATATAACTGATGTGTAGTTTCCTTCTGGGAGTGTGTGGGTAGTTCCAGACAGTGTTTCTCTATGTAACAAACCCAGACCTTGAACACACAGAGATCTGCTTTTCTTACCCTTCAAAGTACTGGGATTAAAGATGTGTGCCCCATATGTGTGACCCAGCCTCCACATAATTTTTCTTAATTCTATCCTTTGGGACTCATATGGGAGAGTGTAGTGGCTTGTTTTGTGTCAACTTGACACAAGCTGGAGTTATCACAGAGAAAAGAGCTTCAGTTGAAAAAATGCCTCCATGAGATCCAGCTGTAAGGCATTTTCACAATTAGTGATCAAGAGGGGAGACCCCGGGGGTGGTGCCATCCCTGGGTTGGTAGACTTGGGTTCTATAAGAAAGCAAGCTGAGTAAACCAGGGAAAGCAAGCCAGTAAGATCCCTCCATGACCGCAGCATCAACTCCTGCTTCTTGACCTGCATGAGTTCCAGTCCTGACTTCCATTGGATCATAAACAATGCAAGGTGGAAGTATTAGCTGAATAAACCCTTTCCTCCCCGATTTGTTTCTTGGTCATGATGTTTTTGCAGGAATAGAAACCCTGACTAAGACAGGAGAGTATTCAGGTATTGGAAGCTGATAACCGTGGCCCATTTGTACCCCCAGTCTTACATCTTGGTTTTACAATTCATGGTCACTCTGTTACTTTCTTCATTAGATGTTCCAATTTATCTACAGGTCAGGATGCACCAAGATGGTCCACCAAGAGTGGACTGTAGCCCATATCATCTTCCTCGCATACAAATGGAACCAGAGCTTTCCAATACCACAAACTGGGTCCTTGGGCTGACTTCCCTAAACTGTTAGAGCACAGTGGATGTAGGGACCTCTCAAACCCTTGAGGCTTATTCCTGAGCTGCAGTTTATTAATCTCCTACTTGTGCATGAGACTCATTTGCTATTCCCCTGTGCTCAGTCTTGCTTCGCCTTAATTCTACCATCAAATCCAGCACACAAGTTTGTCATATGTGAGTATAAAAGAATCAAACAACGACAAAAAAATCTTTTTTTACCAAAATGATTTAAGCCATCTCGCAAGGGACTTCATTGTTGTCCACAAGGAATTCAGTTGAGGATAAAATTGAGTCTAAGATCATGTGTTAGAAATGTCTATTTCTCATTTTCAGGTCTATTCTCACTATGATGATGTGCTAGGCCTAAGATGCCCTGAATAACTAAGAAACTGTTGACTTTACAGATTTTATGAGAATGTAGTTCATACTCAAAAATCTCAGGGATGGGTAGGCATTTTGTTGAATTCACTTAGTGTTGGTATGGAGATCATTACAGATGCCTCATTTCTCCTTTCTTGCAGGAGACCTCAGACCTGCTCTACCCAGGATTTCTTCAGCACCCAAAGGTTAGTAAAAACTCTAAAAGGCTAGAGAAGCCAATACTATTTTGATGATACATCCTCTGATCCTTGAGAGAAGAGCAGAATGTAATGAAGAAGCCTCAGTTTGCAAAGCTCACCAGACTATAGGAGAGGCTCATACCCAGGGCAGAGTGCCTCTCATGTCCCTTCCTGCTTCCCATGGTGACAATAACTCTACTCAATGACAAACTGAATACCCTACCTAGAACCTCTACTCCTGGTTATGCAGAGTGTCACACTGATACTGGTCCTCAAGAAGGTAATGCTAATTTTCTACTAGCCTTCTAGAGGAAGAAAGGAGCCAGGGGTGCAGACGAAAAGGGCAGTTATAGGAAAGGAGCAAGAAGTGGGCAGCCAGTCAAAGACTTCAAGGAGCATTTCTTTGCTCAGTGCCTTTCTCATCTTTACCCTTAGATACTCTTTCCTTGCTACATTTCATGGACCAGCATCGGGAGGAGCTGGTGGCCCGAGTGACATCAGTGGACCATCTATTAGACAAGCTACATGGTCTGGTGCTGAGTGAAGAAGACTATGAGGCAGTGAGGGCTGAGACCACAAACCAAGACAAGATGAGGAAGCTCTTCAGCCTCAGCCGGTCCTGGAATCAAGCCTGCAAAGACCAATTCTACCAAGCTCTGAAGGAGACCCATCCTCACTTGGTTATGGACCTTCTTGAGAAGTCAGGCAGGGTCTCTTTGGGATCCTGACATCGGTGAGCACTCTCTTTAGAGTCCTTATCTGCCTGACTTCCTTTGGTCCTTAGTTTCTCCATCTGTAACCAGTGGCCATGTGAGTTTCCTTTCTGATAGCACTGTTTCCAGGACACCTCTTGGGGGTCCAGATGTTGCCCCTTTGCTTCCCCAGCCAGATGATCATGTGAGTTGAGCATCTCAGAAGTCACCCAGTGGGGCTAGTAAGTCTATTCAGGCCTTTTCCAGCCTGCTCTGATGGTCAGAGTGGACAGCCTCAAGCTAACCTGACCCACCATGATACAAGCAGGATGGGGATCCTGAAAATGGAAACAAAGAGATGATAGTTCTCTCTGGAAAGTCAATGTCTTATATACAGGAAAGGAGGGGGGGCTTTTAAAACTCATGATATCTGCTCAAAGATGTCAGGAAGTCACATGACACAACATGAGACTCACTGCCAGAACCACCTCAGAGTCAGTGCACACTGTGAATTAATCCTGGGTAGTTGCATATGCACATGCCTTCCGTTCTTGTGATGAATTTGCAAGCCTCACATTTGGTTACATCATCCCATATGGAGGTGTGAGTCAAGGCTACAAGGCTTTCCCTCTGGATCCCTCCCTGCCTGGTGCATGGACAGAGCAGTTACACAGCTTCTCAGTGTCGTCCATCTTTCCTCGTAACTCTGCAGGTGTGTGGATCTAGTTCTGCTGTGTGGATCTCTGCACCCTGCTTCTCTTTCTTTTTAGGAATACAGTGGTTTCTTATTCTAACTCCTGCCCTTATTAGGTCACAAACTGGCAGCTTCAGCTCAGACATCTTACCCAGAATCCTCTAGTGTTTTATTGGATATTTCCAAATTTTGTGCTTCCTTTCTGTGATACTGACTTCAACAGGAATTTATAAATGTCTTAAACTAAACAAATAAGTCAATGACAGATAAAGCCAAGATTCTTATGCGTTTATGACAGATATGGCACACCGGGCTGTCAATCATGGTTCTTAAATGTGTACAACAGATTTGACACACTGGGCTGTCAATCAAGGTTCTTAAATGTGTGTGACAGATATGACATACTGAGCTTATTTGTAAATAAGTAAAAATGTTAAAATGCCAATAGTTAATATATATTTTATACAGTGAGCATCTTGAAACTTATGAAAGGGAAATATATTTGACTTCATGAATTATTGGTGTATTAAAATGAGTTCCCATCACTTTCTCTTTCTTCTTACTGCAATGCAAGGTCATCAAGTACTCTTTTAACCTATGCCTCCATACTGATTTGGTGAGGATGGGCTGAGACACAGCTGTGACAGATCAGACTTTCTATGGCCAACAGCAAATCTGCACTGAAACGCATCCATAACTAAGGTTCTCAACTTGGCTCCTCCAGAGGACAAGCCACCTGGACAGCAATCAGAAATGGCACATATGCAGGGAAAACAGTGAATAGAATATCTCAGTGTTATGTTTTATTCCAAGAAATATTATTATTTCTTCTCTTGGATCTGTGTCTAAAGATGTGCTCTTCAACCTACACAGCTGGTGTCCCGTTAATACAAACACATGATGTGGTGCCAGCAAGAGACACCTGAAACTTCAGAAAATGTCAGGTTCTTTCGTAAGTTCAAAGGGACAATAAATATTTAGAAATGGAGATTGAAAGTACAAACTCATCTAACAAAAACCAATCAGTTAAAAGAAATAAAACTTTATATGATGAAAGTGTATGGGCATGTTTACATGTTGTGTTAATGATAATTAAATCCCATTATAACTATAAATTTCTTAAAATTGAACCTTAATATGATTAAGAGTTCATTTTTAAATGTCCTTACATAAAGGGAAACCTATGCTATAAAAATGTTAACTGGCAACTATCTGCTTACACGGCAGTCTGCTGGAGAAAAAGTTTGTGTGTTTGTTTGTGTGATGGTTTTGTATTAATTTTTGTGTTTGTTGTTGTTATTGTTCTTTTTAACTGTAAATACCCATTGATAAAACTGTCTTGTGTCAATTTAACAGTTGTGACTTAGCTGTCCCATATTAACTGTATTTACCTATGTGACCTGATACCAGTAGTCACAGAAGAAAGCAGAATGGTCCGGCTTCTTGACTGGAGCGATGTGCAGTGGTCTAAGGATATACATAGCTGTTTTCTAGTCTGATCTTTTCTTACAATCCTAGAATGTTTAAACATTTGGTGCCTTCTAGGAAACACATTACAAAATTAAAATCCAAAAGCTTTGGCTCTTGACAGGTAAAGTGTTTTGACTTTTTTTTAAAAAAAAATCCTTATTATTTAGTTTATGTATATTTATTTTAATCCAGGGATAAAGAGGAAGCAGAGATCAAAGGAATGTCTGGCCAATGTCAACCAATGACTAGCCCAACTTGAGACACATCCCATGTAAAAAAGCCAGTCCTGGACACTATTAATGATATTTTGCTATACTTGCAGATAAGAGTCTAACATCACTTTTCCTGAGAGGCTTCATCCAGCAGTGGATGAAAACAGATACAGAGACCCACAGACAACATCACATGGCGCTTGGGAGGCTCGTGGAAGAGTGAGGGATAGAATTGAGCAAGCTGGTGGGGTCAAGGACACCACAAGAAGACATACAGAGTCTACTAACCTGGAACCATGGGGACTCACAGAGATGGAACTACCAACCAAAGAGAATGCACTGGCTGGACCTAGGTCCCCTACACATTTGTATCAGGTGTGCAGCTTGGTCTTTATGTGGGTCCACTAATAATTGGAGAGGAGTCTGTCTCTGTCTCTGTTGTCTGCTTTGCATCCCTTTCCTTTAGCTGGACTGCATGTAAAAGGATGCAGGATTGGGCCTCAGTAAAAAGGATGTACTTAGGCCTATTGCAAGTGAATGTCCAAGGGTGGGGTGGAATTCAAGGGGGACTTCCCCTTCTCGGAGGGGAACTGGAGAGGGAAAAAAGGAGGGATTTGTAAGAGTAGGACTAGGAGGAGATGAGGGAGGGGAAACGCAATCAAGATGTAAAGTGAATACTTTTTAAATTAAAAATAAAATTTTAAAACTCTTCTTATTCTAAAATAATCATGAATGGCATTATAATGGGTATATATTTTCAAAGTACTTCACTTTAATGGAAATGTTCTTTTATATAATGTAAATATTAAATACTTGGGGAAAAAAGCTAGAATTTAGTGAAAATAAAGGAAATCTAGTCATACTTTATGCTCTTCTACTTGAGGGACCAGTATTATTATATTATTTCCATTTAGTAAAATCTGACCTAATTTTGTATCCTCCTCTGTTGTAATTTCTTGGTAAAAACTGTGACTTCTTCTAAAACCATACTGACAAAAATACTAGAAACCTGCCATCAATTTTTTTTCTTTTTTCTTTTTCCAGTCTTTTTGAGACAAGGTTTTAATGAGTAGTCCTGGATGTCATGTAACTTACTCTGTAGATCTGGCTGACCGTGAACTCACAGAGATTCACTTGCCTCTGCTACAAGTGCTGGGATTAAAGACATGTGCCAACACCATCCAGCCCAACAATGCCTTTATCACTCTTTATCACTGTGTCATTCTCGATCCTATACACTTGTTCATAAGGTCTAATGATAGAAGTTACAATAGGTTCGTGGTGGGATTGGATGGCATGGTCACACCAGAAGTCTGGTTTACTTTAACCAGTGAGCAGTGATTGGTTTGGGCCATGTATAAACTGGTGAAAGAGACCAGACTTCGGAATCCTAGTAACCTCTATCTTACAGCCTGCATTTGGCTGTTCCACAAGCCAGAGTGTAGCAAAACAAGCTACACTTCTCAAGATGGACAGTGCCCAAACCAGCAGAACTCCTGATAAAAGTAAGGACAGACAGACTGTACATAAAACCATTAACTAGCCCTTCTTCTTGGTCCTTTCTGCTGGGCAGACTCCTAACTGGTCTGTGCCGAGAAGACACTATATCCAGACCAATCCTAGATGATCCACTGCACTCAGAGCAATTGGATCATAGCTCTGCACCCAATCACAGAACACCCAGAGGAAGCTGGACTCCTAGGGGCTCTAACATGCCCAGGATCATAGGATTTAAGGATCTCAGAGGCAGCCTGTCTCCCAGGAGCTCTTACACTCAGGATCTCAGGATCACAGAATCACAGAGACAGCTGGACTCTGAGGATTTCTGACACAACCAAGATAACAGGAAAGACAGATGTCAGTCACAGACAGTGAGTGCAGGTAGCACTGGAGATAGCCAGATGGCAAAAGGCAAGCACAAGAACATAAGCAACAGAAACCAAGGTTACTTGGCATCATCAGAACCCAGTTCTCCAACCATCAGTCCTGGACACCCCATCACACCGGAAAATCAAGATTCAAATTTAAAATCACTTCTCATAATGATGATAGAGGACTTTAAGAAGGACATGAATAACTCTCTTAAAGAAGTTCAGGAGAACACAGGTAAACAGGTAGAAGCCCTTAAAGAGGAAACACAAATATCCCTTAAAGAATTACAAGAAAATACAAAAAACAGGTGAAGGAATTAAACAAAACTATCCAGGATTTAAAAATGGAAGTAGAAACAATAAAGAAATCACAAAGAGTGATTTTACCGGAGATAGAAAACTAGGAGAGAGATCAGGAGTCATTCATTTGAAATAACAAAAACCCAGGATAGCAAAAACTATTCTCAACAATAAAAGAACTTCTGGGGAAAAATCACCATCCCTGACCTCAAGCTGTACTACGGAGCAATAGTGATTAAAAATCTGCATGGTATTGGTACAGAGATAGGCAAGAATATCAATGGAATGGAATTGAAGACCCAGAAATGAACCCACACTCCTATGGTCACTTGATCTTTGACAAAGGAGCTAAAACCATCCAGTGGAAAAAAGATAGCGTTTTCAACAAATGGTGCTGGTTGAACTGGAGGTCAGCATGCAGAAAAATGCAAATCGATCCATTCTTATCTCCTTGTACAAAGCTCAAGTCCAAGTGAATAAAGGACCTTCACATAAAACCAGATACACAGAAATTAATAGAAGAGAAGAAGGAAAAGAGCCTCAAATACTTGGGCACAGGGAAATTTTCCTGAACAGAACACCAGGGGTTTATGCTCTAAGATCAAGAATTGACAAATGGGACTTCATAAAATTGCAAAGCTTCTGTAAGGCAAAGGACACTGTCAATAGGACAAAACAGCAATCAACAGACTGGGAAAAGATCTTTACCAATCCTACATCCAAAAGATGGCTAATATATACAAAGAACTCAAGAAATTAGACTACCAACAATCAAATAACCCTATTTGATTGAGGTAAAATGGGGTACAGAGCTAAACAAAGAATTCTCAACTGAGGAAACTCGAATGATTGAGAAGCACTTAAACAAATGTTCAACATCCTTAGCCATCAGGAAAATGCAAATCAAAACAACCCTTGGATTCCACTTCACACCAGTCAGAATGGCTAAGATCAAACACTCAGGTGATAGCAGATGCTGGCAAGGATGTAGAGAAGGAGGAACACTCCTCCATTGTTGGTAGAATTGCAAGCTGGTACAACCACTGTGGAAATCAGTCTGGCAGTCCTCTGAAAGTTGGACATAGTATTACCTGAGGACTCAGCTATACCACTCTTGGGCATATACCCAGAAGATGCTCCAACATATAACAAGCACACATACTCCACTATGTTCATAGCAGCCTTATTTATAATAGCCAGAAGCTGGAAAGAACCCAGATGTCCTTCATCAGAGGAATAGATACAGAAAATGTGGTACATTTACAAAATAGAGTACTACTCAGCTATTAAAAACAATGATTTCATGAAATTCTTAGTTAAATGGATGGAACTAGAAAGTATCATCCTGAGTGAGGTAACCCAGTCACAAAAGAACACACATGGTATGCACTCACTGGTAAGTAGATATTAGCCCAAATCTCAAAATTCCCAAGCTACAACTCACAGACTACATGAAGCTCAAGAAGAAGAAAGACCAAAGTGTGGGTGCTTCTGTTCTTCTTAGAAGGAGTGGCAAAATACTCAAGGGAGCAAATATGGAAACAATGTATGGAGCAGAGACTGAAGGAGGGGCCATCTGGAGACTGCCCAACCTGGGGATCCATCCCACGTGCAGTCACCAAACGCAGAGGCTCTGTGGATGCCAGGAAGTGTATGCTGACAGGACCCTGATATAGCTGTCTCCTGAGAGGCTCTGCCAGAGCCTAACATATACAGGAGGCAGATGCTCACCATTGAACTCATCACAGGGTTCTCAACTGAGGAGTTAGAAGACTGAAGGAGCTAAAGGGGAGCCTTTGTGGCCCCATGGGGAGAGCAACAAAAACAACCAGATCTCCTAGGTCTAAACCACCAGCCTGGGAACACACATGGAGGGACCCATGGCTCCAGCTGTATATGAAGTGGAGGATGGCCTTGTCGGGCATCAGTGGAAGAGGAGGCCCTTAGTCCCGTGAAGGTTGGATGCCCCAGTGTGGGGAAATTCGAGGGCGGGGAGGTGGGAGTGGGTGAGTGGATGGGGACACACCCTCATTGAAGCAGGAGGATGGGGGATGGTTTAAGGGGGTTCTGGAGGTGGGGAATGGGGAAAGGGGATAACATCTAAAATGTAGATAAATAAAATATCCTATAAAAATTTTTTAAAAAATAAATAAAAAGCATGTGGATTGAGGGGGCAGGGAAAAAGGTTTTTTGGGGGGAGGGGGGAAATACCATTAACTAGCTGTGAGCCTGAAGTCACTTCTGCTGCTCTGACACTAGGTGGCGCTAAGAACCGAAGTTTACATCCAATTCTGGGACACGCAAAGTCAAAGGATGAAGAGTTTGGTGGGAGAGCAGGTGGGACCAGTTCAAGAAAGTTCAAATGTCTGTGGTTTTCCATAGATCCATGAGTTATCTCTAATAAAATCACTTCTATTCTTTAGGATGAGTTTAATGAGTCATTCTTTGTGCTGTGGAAAGGTCAGAAGTTAGGAGCAGATGCTAATTTTACATCTCCTTAGAATAGTCACACAACAGTTGATCAACAAATATTTGAGCATTTGCAAATGAAATTACACACTAAATACAGATACAGACAAATATGAAAACATATATTATCAAGTGCTACTTAAAACATATTATCAGATTATTTAAACTCAAAATATTTAATTTTATTTATTGTTTTTGCTTTGGTCTCAAGTCTAAAGAGTCAAAGAGAAGTTAGAAATGATTCTCCAAGGTACAAGGAGCAACAGACTTCTGGAACTGTTGCATGTAAATATTCTTTTAAAAAATCCAAACTATCGCTGGCTAATCTCCGTACAAAGCTGTCTCCCTGCCCCCATGACCATTTGCATTCCCAGCCATCTGTCCCCTGCAGCTAGTCTGACAAGACTGACTCTAAACCCAAGCCACAGAAAACTCCAGAGGCTTATAATTTATCAATCAGATTAATAACAGTAAATTCTCAATCCCACAAAATGCCCACACAAAGAACTATAAAGGCAATTGATATTGATACAAGCTCCCACCTAGACTGGACGAATTGACCTATATTATTCTATTGCTCTTCTATGATATCCATAGCTACCTATCGCTATTTCAAGCCACGTGGATCTGGTTCGTCTTCCTCTCCTATAGGTTCCATCTTGTCTCGCTTCTCTCTCTCTCTATCTCTGAAAGATAGAGCCTGTATCGGGAAGGATGGTATTTTATTCATTGTTTCTCTCTCTCTCTCTCTCTCTCTCTCTCTCTCTCTCTCTCTCTCTCT